GCAGAGGACCCAGCGATCCCACCCCTATCCAGGCACAAGGAGCCTCCTAAGGAGCTGGACTCAGCCTCCTCAGACGAGGAGAATGAAGACGGGGACTTCACAGTGTATGAGTGCCCTGGCCTGGCCCCGGTGAGTGCCTGGGGTCGCAAGAGGGGGGGGGGTTTCCTCCTGCTGTGGGGGTTCCTCCACAGCAGGCTGTCACCCACCCACAGGGCACCGCCCATACCCTCTGTCCCCTCCTGTGCCTGCCTGCCTGCCGGCCTGATTTAGTACCGCCTTCACAGACAGGGGAGATGGAGGTGCGCAACCCATTGTTCGACCACTCCTCGCTGTCTGCGCCCCCACCAGAATCCCGCTCACCACCTGCACTGCAGTGACCTGGAGGCCAATGCCCAGCGCTTCGGCCCAGCGCTTCGGCTTGCCTGCCCGGGGGCCCCGGGTTGGGAGGGGCAGGGCCAACGTTTCCTATTAAAAAGGCACTGTTCTTACCCTCCTGCTTGTGTCAGGGGGGAGGCACTGGCCTCCTGGATCCCTGGCTGGGAGATTCCCTGCCTTGTGCTTGGAGACCTTGCAACCCCCTTGCACCTCCACTGTCCAGTCTGCACCCTGAAACTGGAGGGAGTGAGGAGAACCATAGAACCCAGGCATGGGTAGGGAGTCCTGGAGACAAAGCCAATTAAAGTCTGTTCCAAATCTGAGCCTTCTGGGTGTGTTAGAGGTACTGGTCAACACTCAGCCCCCACCCTGCACTGGGGGACTCTGGTGGATGGACCCTGAGTGGGGGCACCTCTGTGGGGTATTTGTGAGGACCCTCCCATGGAGGCTAGAGGAGGGGCAAACACAGTAGCACCTCTTCCCTCTTTATTGGGCCCCACCTGACCTACACACCTGTCCTACAGTGGGAGAGGATAGGGAAGTTCTAGGTCCTGACTCTCTAGAGGACCCCATTTGGTGTCATGTAAAGGGCTGGTAGAGAGGCAGTCCACACACACCTGGATTTGGACACCTCCATTCCTGCCTGCTGTCCAACTGGGACAGAAGGCCAGGGAACAGGGTGCAGGCATTGTGAGTTTCCTATAGAGGAGCACACAGACCTCAGGGGCCCCTGCATTTTTATGGGGGCATGCTGGACAGAGGGACCTGAGGGACACAAATCTACACACAGCCAGGCAGACAGGGGACCAGGTGAGGGTAATTAGATGGCAGGGTGCCCTTAATGCCTAGAGCTGGGATTTAGCCTGTCACCCCCCAATATGGGGAGCAAGGAGATCCAGAGTGAGGCGGGGACATTGTTTGGTCGAAGATGCTGAAATTGAGCCTATACCAGGTCAGGGTGCAGTGGGGGTACAGATACCAGAGCTGACTGCCCGGCTGAGGCTGGGAGGGAATGGCTGCTAGGGCCGGAGTCCAGGCTGCTGGACAGTCCTGAGATGAGGAAGGCAAGGCCAGTCTGGGACCAGCAGGGCACTGAAGAGTGGGTAGGGCAGACTGGTAGACATAGGATCTCCCTGCTTGGAGCTACTGATTTTTCTAAGCAGTTATGTTTTGAGGGCCAGAGCCCCCACCAACTAGGAAGCCCCCTTGGCCTTTATCCCCTCACTCCTCAGCTGTGACCTTTGACTGCTCTGCAGTTGGGATGGGGGCAAAGTTTGTGCTGAGCCAGGCATGGTGACACATACCTGTAATCCCAGGAGCTCTGGAGACTGAGGAGGAGTATGGCAAGTTCCAAGTCAGCCTCAGAAAACTTAGTTGAGGCCCTCAGCAACTGTCTCAAAATAAATAATAATTTTAAAAAGGGTTAGGGATGTAGTTCAGTGGTTAAGTGCCCCTGTGCTCAATTCTTAGTACCAAAAAAAAAAAAAATGTGTGCTGAGCGTCAAGCTTGGCACATGCATGTCCACTGCCAAGCCATTTGTCTGAAGTAGTAGGGGAGAGGGCCACAGAGAGGTGGGACATAGGGAGACTCCAGCCTCACCCCAGGGCCAAGAGTGGCCAGGCACCCAGCCAGTCTGTCTCACAGGTGGGATTTACAGATCCAAGGCTGGAGGCTCCCTACACCAGGGCCATCCTGCTGGCCTGACCTGGGGTCTGAGAGCAGCCACCTGCTGTGTCCCATCTTCTGGACCTTCTGGGGTCCCCAGTCTGTCCCCAGCATCTCTGCTGCTCACTGAGGCCTTGGCAAGGAAGGTCTGCCTCCCAGCGGCTGCCACCGTGAGGGAGGGAGCCTGAGGGCCTGAGCAGGGGAAGGCAGGCAGGGTCCCTGCAGCCACTCCCCTGGCAGACTCCTGTGAGCTCAGCACCCCCGCCTCCCCTGCTCTTTGGGTTCCATCAGTCCCAGGCCAGTTTTATATGTCTTTGTTTGCCCCCCTTCCTCCTCTAAGTCCCAGGAGACAGGTGGGCTGCTCTGGAGACAGCAGGGGCTCTGGAGATCCCAATCCTGGCTAAGTGGTCTTTGCCACCAGCAGCCTGGGAGCCCTGGCTGCTGTCCCAGGGCCCCTGCTGAAGCGTACCTTCCCTGTCAGTAGGAAGAGGCTGATCTCACCTTAGCCCTCTGGCCCACCTGCCGAGCACTGAGCCCACCTGAGTCTTCTACAGGCCTGTCCCCCACAGCCCAGCTCCTCTATCTGCTTCTCACCAGAGAAAGCCTACCGAGGCCTCTGCCTGGATGCTTAGTGGGACCCGCCTGGTGTATCCCCGAGCACAGATGCCAGAGGGTGAAAGCCACCCCCCCAGCACAGACCTGGGGTGACACCATTTATGGAGATAACCTCCAACCTAGCAGTACTCTGGGGCACAGAATGTGTGGTGCTCTGATCCCTGAGTCAAGACTCTAGGAGACAGGACTTCCTAGTGTCAGCCCCTGAGAGGCGATGTCCTTCCATTGCACTTCAGACCCAGCTCCGAGGGGCTGGGTTGGTGGCCCCAGACTCGGGGTCCCAGTGGCAGCTCCCTGACAGCTGAGCAGGGCGAGGAGCACATCCTGGTGCAGAATGGGACATGCAAACCTGGAGTGTAGTGCATGGGTCCCCACCGAGCCACCCAGGAGCTCCCAGAGATGTCAGGAGCTGCCCCTGGACATGGACAAGGACATGCTCCCCACACTGGGCTTGATGGGAAAAGGGGAGTGGAGGGGCTGGGCCACTCCCATGCCCTCAGGTGGCCAAGAAGGACTGCCCTGATGCTGCCTGGACCAGCTGGATCACAGTACTGTCCTTGTACTGCCCTCTGGGTGTGCCCACCTTGGCTCCTGCCAGCCTCCAAGGCCCCATCTTCCCAAAGGCAAGCCCAAAGGATTCCTGCAGCCCAGCCTACCCTCTCACAGAGTGCCAGGGCCCCTTCCTCCCCAGGGCAGGTGGCTCTGGGACACAGCCAGCAGGGGGCCCTCGCGGCATGAGTCTGACTCTGTCCTACCCAGGCCAGCCCTTGGGGCCCAGTGTTGGTCAGGCAGGCTGCCAGGCTCTGCCCTGCTTCCTGTGGTGCCCTCAGGCAGAGGCTGAGTGTCCCTCGCCCTCTGGCCACCTATTGTCTGTGGGATGCTATTGTCTGTGGGGGACAGCAGTCTCCAGGTTGGTGGCCTGCCCTCAGTCTAGAGCAGGGTCCATGGAGTTGAGGCCTTTTCAGCTAGTCCCCTTCCCTCTACGGGGTGGACCCTGGAGCAGGCCAGAGGGCCTGGCTGGGCAGAGTGAAGGATCCTGATCCCCTCGTCTCCATGCCGCTGGGCTGGGTTGGGGCCCACCTGTGGCCCTGAGAGCCCAGTGAGTCAGGCCTAGCTGGGGTGAGGCGGCAGGTGGAGGCCCCAGCTCGCCCTCTGACTCACACTCTCTCACCCTCTTATTTTTTCCTTTCATTCTGACCCATTTCTGGGCCAAATCTCAGAGCCCGTTTCCAAGCTAGCAGTTTCTTATGACAGGTGCCTGCGGCTGCCAACCTGAGCCGGCCCTGCGTGGCGGGGAGCAGGCTGACAGCAGCAGGCGGAGGTGGGGGAGGCTCCTTCGAATCCACCCAGGAAGGGAGCAGGCTGTGGGTGTGGGTGAGGTGGTGGCAAGGGCCCCAGCCAGCCTGGCAACACAAACAGGAAGGACAATAGGCCGGTTGCCCCAGGCTGATAGGATGGCCTCCTTCCTGCAGGCCCTGCTGCCGGAGGGGCACCCACCACCGGGAGAAGAGGTGATGTGAAGTGAGGCCTGAAGCCAGGGTGTGGCTCCTCTGGAGTGGCCCTGCTGGGGAAGATGCCAGGGAGGGGCCCAGGTCCCAGGTGCCACTGTGGTCATCTCCCTCACACTGGGTGCTGAAGGACAGGGGCTCGGGTGGCTGTCCATGCCAAGGCCAGTCTTCAGGGCGCAAAGCACCTCAGGCCAGCTGGGCGGTTTCTGAGGTGCCCACAGCCCTCCCTTCCCCTCAGGCATTGCACAAGCGCTCCACCGCAGCAGGCTGCTGGTGGGGGGTGACTCCGAGGGGCCAAACTGCCACTCGTTCCTGGGCTCCCCTCTGCCCCCATGATGGGTGTGCGGCCAGCAGCTGGTTCCTGTCCCAACGGCAGCCTTGTGTCCATGTGGGTTTGTAGCGAGGGAGAACCAGTGGTTCTGGCGCCTAGAAGTGATTGGCAGAGGGCTGGTGAGGGGTGGAGGGGTCCAGTGGTGGTGCTGGGGCAGCAGAGCTGGCCCACAGTTCCTGGCTACTCTCCTTGTAGGACTCCTGGTCTGGGCCCTCTGGCATCTAGGTCTGGCTTGCCACACCCTGCCTGGAACCTCAGGGCCCTGGGGAGCAGAGTGAGGGGTATGGAGATGAGGGCACACTCTGCCTGGGAGCAGGGTGCGCCCTGAGCAGGGGTGACCCTTCAAGGCATCCAGAATCTACAGGGCTTGTTACAGCTCCACCTTGGGGGGCAGGGGGAGGAACCTGACCTCAAGGCCCCAGCCTGTGTCCCAGGGCTGGCTGGAGGGAGGGGGAAGGGACCTAGGCCTCAAGCTGGGGCCAGACTTCTTCTTCCTGGAGCCAGAGCCAGACTCTGCCCGACAGTCTGTCTGTCAGCGTCAGGGACACAAGGACTCCTTCCCTTTCCAGCCTGGAAAGCCCCCTACAAGGCAGCAAGGAGGAAGGGTGTGACCTGCAGCTCTTGCAGCCCACCCGGGACCGTGGGCCCAGCCCACAGCCTCTAGATTCTAGGGGCACCTGTCACTGGGCAGCCCCCAGTCCCTCGGGGGAAAATGCAGGCTGGGGTCTGCCCTCAGGAGCACGTGCTGGGGTCTCCTACCACCCCAGGATGGATCTCTCTCTGGGGATCTGGATTCTGGGGACCAGGCAGTTCCTAGAGGTAGCAGGCACAAGATGGGGTGGGGTGGCCCCACAGAAACCTCAGCCTTGGGGAAAGAGCTGAGCGCAGCACATCTGTGACACCAGAGGGTCTGGGAGACCACGGCCAGCGGCCTAGGGGAAGTGGGTGATGCCACAGGGAGGGGCCACAGACTGGGGCAGTGCACTTGCTCTATGAGGGTGCCCTGGGTCTGTACGGTGGGTGGCGTAGGGGGCGCCCATCTGGGTAGGGGCTCAGGGTGCTCACCCGGGCAGCCTTCCCTTCCCTGGGCCAAGCAGGCCTCCTCCTCCTCTTCTGGTGCCCAGCTGGTCAGGTCTGGGCCTCTCCAGAGACCATCAGGGGCAGCTGGGGCCCTGGCTTCCTGTAGCTAACCCCACTCCCAGCAGAGGAGCAGAGAGGGAGGTGGGGGTGGGGACAGTGGTTGATGCCAAAGGCCACGGGGGCAGGGGCGGGGCAGGAGTGGGAAGGCCCCAACTGCCCTCACCTTGGGCAGATGAAAGCACAGTGCTTCCAGGCAGGGGCTGAGCCAGGGGCACAGCTGTGATTTCAGGGTGCCTCTGTCAGAGTGGCTGCTGTGATTTGAGAACCTCGGGTTTCTCCAGTGACTGATTCTGGGAGGTTGTGAATGAGTAATGCCAGTGAGTAGCTGCCTTGGGGACCCCGGTTGGGAGGAGGGGTGGTAAAAAGCGGGGACCTGCAGGTGTCCTGAGCCGGGTGCCAGCCTCTCCTCCTTGTCCTCCTGCAGGGCGTGGCACCACCTGGAGACTATGGGCCTGGGGGGGCCTTGCTGGGGGGGCCCTGCTCTCGGTCCTCTGGCTCCTGTGGCTTCTGGGGTCAGCCCCAGGTGGTGTGCCAGAGCCCCAGCCCATGGTCACCATCCTCATCTGGCATTGGCCCTTCACCGACCAGCCCCCAGAGTTGCTGGGTGACACCTGCACCCGCTATGGCATGTCCCGCTGCCGCCTGAGCACTGACCGAAGTCTGCTGGCCAGTGCTGATGCTGTGGTCTTCCACCACCGGGAGCTGGAGACCAGGAGGGTCCGCCTACCCCTGGCACAGAGGCCACGTGGGCAGCCCTGGATCTGGGCCTCCATGGAGTCACCCAGCAACACCCACGGCCTCGCCCGCCTGCGTGGCATCTTCAATTGGGTGCTGAGCTACCGGCGTGACTCAGACATTTTTGTGCCCTATGGGCGCCTGGAGCCCCGCTCTGGGCCTGCGCCCCCAGTGCCAGTCAAGAGCAGGATGGCCGTCTGGGTGGTTAGCAACTTCCAGAGGCGGCAACAGCGTGCGAGGGTGTACCGCCAGCTGGCACCTCACCTTCAGGTGGATGTGTTTGGCCGTGCCAGTGGGCGTCCACTGTGTGCTGACTGTTTGCTGCCCACCGTGGCTCCCTACCGCTTTTACCTGTCCTTGGAGAACTCACAGCACCGAGACTACATCACTGAGAAGTTCTGGCGTAATGCGCTGGCAGCTGGGGCCGTGCCTGTCGTGCTGGGACCCCCGAGGGCGACCTACGAAGCCTTCGTACCTCCTCATGCCTTTGTGCACGTGGACGACTTTGGGTCTGCCCGGGAGCTGGCCGCTTTCCTCAATGGCATGAACGAGAGCCGCTATCGTGGCTTCTTTGCCTGGCGTGACAGTCTGCGCGTGCGGCTGCTGGAGGACTGGCAGGAGCGCTTCTGTGCCATCTGTGCCCGCTATCCCTACCTGCCACGTGGCCAGGTCTATGAGGACCTGGAAGGCTGGTTCCAGGCCTGAGCTCCCACAGCTCCCAAGAGGTCTGTGGGCAGAAGGCTGATGTTGAAACCAAACCATGGGCATCCGGCCCCCAGGTCAGTCGTGCTAACCCGAGGCTAGGGTCAGAGACTAGGAAGCAGGGAGGAGCAGGCTGGGGAGCTGTGGAGCAGGCGCTGGGGGAGGAGGGGGGTGGGTGGGGTGCATGTTGCTCAGGCTGCTCAGAGAGGAAAGGCAGCAGAGGATCTACCTCCCCACCTTGAACATATCTCTGTAAACAAGGCCAGCTGAAAGGGTGGAGGCCGGCCCTGGGGACAAACCTGGACACCCTGAACATCCCCAGTGAAGGTGCTCTAGTCCTGGAGAGGCAGGCGCATGGCCCTACTCTTTCTGTACCCTGGAGCCCCTGTGTGCAGGGGTGTTTGGCAACCCAGGGGCCTTGCAGGAAGGGAGGGTGGCAATAAAGAACTGCAGACCTGCTGGACACTACCCTCCAGCCACGGGTCCTTGCTTCTGACTCCAGCCCGCCTGAGTGGCCTGGGGGCCCTCATCCTCCTTCCACCTAAGACTCTGCCAAGTGGCACCCTCTCAAGGTGCCTCCCCTGACGCCCAGAGGTCTAGGTGTCTGGAGAGCAGAGAACCACAGCTAGAAACCCAGGTGGGCTAAGGTGCATCTCAGGCCAGAGGGGCTCCTGCGTGTGACAGGGCCTGACTGGTGACTTGGAGTCTCCATGGTAGTGGTGGCAGCCTGGCCGGCTAGGGGGTTGGCCTTGAGGATGCTGTGGCTGCCAGGGAGCTCCTCTTGGTGTTCTGGTTTGGGGAGAGGACAGTAGAGGTGGGGGGTAAGGCTGTTGGTGGTGCTGACAAGGGCCCTGGCTGGCCAAGCCCCTGGGGTGGGGGGCAGGGGCTTCTCTTGGGTGGGCAAAGGATATGGACAGGAAGCCCCCCCACCCAGTAGCTTGTGGGGAATGCCTGCCTAGCTTCCTGTCCTGACCCAGCCTTCTGGCTAACTGGGGAGAAGCAAATGTCCCGAGACTGGGGATTGGGGGTGGCGTTTGTTCCCTTGCCCTACCCAAGGTCACCTCCCCTACAAAGGACTTAGGAGGGAGTAGGGAGTTGCAGTACCCTAAGTTTTTCATTCACTTTGGGGGTTCCCTCTGTGCATCCCAGGCTGGACACCACAGAGCCTCACACTTTCCCATCCCACTCACAGGCTGGTAAGAAGCCATCAAAGCCATCGGTAAGACTGCCCTCAGCTCCCTGGGTCCAGCCTTCCCTCTGCTGCCCTCTGCTGGCCATGTGGAGAAATGGACCCTGAAACCCGCTTAGGGCTGGGACGGTTCAGTCTTGCTCTGTCCTGGTAGTGGCCTGTCTTCAACAAGTAATGGATCACCTTTGTGGAAGTTGGAGTTGGACACCTATGACTGTCAGACCTGGTGATACAAGCCAGCATAGGAAGGCAGCCTGTTTTCCAAGCACCACGCCTGTCCCCACCAGCAAAGAGCTGTTTCTGGGGCCAGGGTCCTCACTGCTCAGAGGACTGCAGCTGAGCAGAGCACCCAGGTGTCCTGCCAGCCTCATGGCTGTCTGTAGTGGGCTACAGCTCTATACTGCTATTGATCGGCACTATAGTTTGAATATTAGTTTAACTTTTTCATACAGAGCAGAACTGTCACCCTGACAGTTTCTCTGCCTGGTGTTCACATCCCTACAGAATGGCTGGATGCAGCCTGCTTGACTCACCCCACCAAACTCACACATGCAGATGTGCCACAGCTTCTACTATTGGCCACAGTGTGACCCCATGGAGCTCCTGCTGGGCAGCTGGGCATCAACTGTGGTGCATGCCTGCAGTCCAGCTACTTGGAGTGTTGAGGCAGGAGGATCACTTAAATCCAGGAGTTAGAGACTAACTGGGCAGTGTATCAAGACCCCCAACTCAAAATAAGAAAAAAAATCTTGGGGGAAACTCGTTTGTGGGACCCAACAAAGAAGATGGACCAGGTCCTGCCCCACCTGCCCTCTCTGACCTGTGAGTATCTGTAAGGGCAGTCTTCATTTTTACCTCTTTCTTAATCGGTGAAGGAAGGGTGCTTTACATCTTAAAAGCCTAATCAATATCACTTAGACAACAGGTGGCTCATTCATTAGGGACACAGGAAGCCCTTATGGGGTGGCTCAGGCCATTTCAGTCCCCCTCACCAGGGGCCTCCATTAAAGGGCACCAGTCAAGATGTGCTGGTCAGGTTGGACGGGGGGCTTTTGCAGCCTGGAAGGCAGTGCCTGACCTGCACAGGTGAGGTCTCTGCCTCCATCCTAGGTGAACCCGCACTTGTCCTAGGTTAGAGCAGCTGACCTCCCTGCTCCCACCGTGCTCCTCGGGGCCTAACGGGCTCTCGCGTCCAAGGGAGATCTCTGCCTGGCATGGTGGAGTTGAGTGTGACCTGGTGGGAACCAAGGCCTCCAGCTTTCCTTCAGGGTGCCTGGATGATAGCGACCACCTTGGGGCACCTCTGCAGGCGACCCCCAGGCCTGGAGCCCCTGGAAGAAGCTACGGTGCACAAAGATTCTTAGATCCGGAAAGGGGTGATCCAGGGGTCTCGGTTCAGACGCGTGCTCTGAGGGGCCACTTGCTACGGCACGCACGGGGTGGAAGGACGATGGAGGCCTCCCTCGCGGTGCAGGTGCAGGCGAGCCCCGACCCTGCGAGCGCCCCCTGATGGACGCAGCGTGCGGCGCG